GCTGATTGATGATAGCCACTAGAATTATGAAGGCGAACAATCGAACTGAAACACAAACGGTACCATGTCACGTTATTGCGACAGCAGGAAAATTGCAAAAAAAATAGTTGGCTGGATATACTGCAGGTTGCCGAATCAAAGAATCACATACTAAATGAGTCTTCCCTAAAGAGACCTAAGAAAAGGCCGAACAAACCTCCAAATCAATGGCAAGATGAAAGACAAAAAATTTGGGTGCAGAGGAAAGAGTCTTGTGTCTGGCCGCCTCTTAGGACCACCTTCATTTAGCAGTAGATTGAAACTAGAACGATTGATGCTAGAACGAAATTGATTGGGAAAACTAAACAGCGATGGAATGTTTTTGTACGTCCCCTCTCGCAAGAGACCAGACTGACGTCTACAATCGAGTAGTGAATGAAAACACAGAGAAATATCAGTCTGACGTTCGAGATGAAATTGTGAGCTGTTTCATATTTGCCAGTATGGTGTGAAAAATTCTTCCTTTGTCAATGTATTAACTGCAATTCTATTAATGGTACGAAACGGCTGGGAAGCAAAGAGCCAGCCGATGACCGGTAGTAAAATGGTGGTGCATAATTTCGATGAATCAAACTGGCTGAAGTTGTGGGCTTTCCTTCCGTTTGAGAACGACGCTTATTGTGTAAGACATGAAATACCGTAAAACCGGCAGAACGCCCCCGGTTTTATCAGGATACTCTGAGCCGATCTAAAAATAGAATATTCGATGACCGCACTTGGTTAGCAGTGGTGTGGAGAGAGGCCGTTAGCCTAACGTTGAGAGCAGAGTTAACTTTTTAGGACCTCACCCAGGTTTACCACCATGCGTTCTAAATGGCTAACCAAACCCAACGTTCTCAATTACATAATGAAATGGTTTTTTAAACAGTTTGTTTTCTATGCAAATCGCTATTTTCTTTGCTTAAGTCGGTTCTAAAAATTCAGAAAGGTTCGACGTCAATTTAAAGCTACAATCGATGCCAAATTATTTATCGAACATCGGTTTTTGGCGAAACAGCTTAACGACCTCAAAAGCCACGTCTAACTTTGTGCATGAGAATTCCCTCGATGCAACTTCGAGTACCGGCCGCGTACTTAATCTTCGGCGTTTCTTGGCGGCTCTTGAAAGACTCGCGAGCTATTCACGTTGCGGCAAGACGGAAGCGTCATTTTATCTCATAGCAAGTTTGGTGCATTGCACATTTCACTTTTTCACAGCCCATTTTGCACCCAAGTGCAAAAGGTTGGTTTCCGCAGGTGTTACCAAAGATTCTTGTCAGCAAGATCGATTTCTAAACATTGACAGATGTTGCGCTCAACCAGGTTTACTCACGTTGCAACAGCTCCAACCAAAAGTCTGCAAAATCAGGTATGAGGTACCTACTGGATATTAAGAACATCTACCAAGCAAATCACACAATTACATAATATCGCATAAACACCATAAGGTGCTGGTACACCAGAGTCTGTCAAAAATCGAACAACACCTCTACCCTCCAGATTTCAGGTCGTGTCGCATTGCCCTTTGCATACACGGAGTACTAGGCGATGAAACGTCGTTCGTGATGTACGCCAGGTAGTGCGAGCGGACAAAATGATTCGAGATGCACCTGGCACTGCAGGTATTAAAATACCATGCAGTTGTAGCTTGTCTTAGAGGACATGTAAGCGACTAGAAGCAATGAGCGGTGCAATAAATCGTTAAATCTGTTCTTTAAGGAGTCATTAATTAATTACAAAATTTAATGAAGCTAATGAAGCTCGAGAAACAAGAAGTCAAAGGTTATAAAGTTTTGCTTTACGATTTATGTCGGAAGAGATGCATGCAGGAACAACGTCTGTTGTCGAAGTCGAAACGTAACCATCTCAGTGGTTGCCCATACAGCTGATCAGGAAGATGTTATTTTGCCTCTGATATTCAACATTGTTCTCGACTTTCTTCTCTGAAACAACGCTGACGAATGTCTCATTTTAGAGGAAAGGCGCAGTTCAACATATATTTTGATGACGTATGGTGCGCACATGATATTGCACCGGAGAGCAGTGCTGAGAGCAGGGCGTCCTGTCACCTGACAACTGCATTGTGCAACACGGCTGTGAAAGCAGTTGTTTTCTTTAACTCGCGGAGGTCAAAGGCTATGAGGGATCTGTCCCCCACAGATGATTTATGAGTGGATTAAGAACGTGAAGCGTTTCAGGAGATTGACCCTGCCAAGTACCTTTTCTCTATCATCTCAAGCGACGATGCCATCAATCAAAGTTGAATAGAAGGATGGCCGTTAGTCTAGAATGTTTATGGTAACTGGTCCAATATTGTGGTTGAGAGAAGAGTAACGCTTTCCACAAATTCATTTGACCGTTGCTTCTACCAGGCCGGTGTTGTTGTACGGTAATGATACAGTTGCTCTAATGAACTACGTACGAGTTTCACATGGTTCACATTGAATATATAAGCTTCAGCGCAATATGAACGTTAAATGGCAGAACCACGTGTGGCAGCACCATATTATACTCAGGGCACACATGTGCACCGTAAACGTAGAGATTTAAAAATGGAGTTAAATTTGGCCCTGCTACGCAAACTTATTGTGCTTGAACATGAACCATGTAGCGGAGTCCGTCAGTAGTTGTATAACTTGAATGAAGACCACAGAGGCAGATATGTTTTCAGTGATGTACTGTTTCTTCCACAAAGCAATAGCAGGCGCTTTTATGGCAAAAGTGCCGAAATGCTGTGAATTCAGCGAACATCACGAACCACAGACTTTCCCTCGTGTACACGTCTCAGAGTGATGGTCTTAAAAACGACAGCATTGGTGGCAAAAGCTGATGACGTTGTACGGTGCATAAGCCCAAATTATAGGTTACCTTCACACCTACAGACCTCGGCTTTGGAAAATCATGTTCCACACCTGCAGTCCATTTCTTGACGATCCACGTCTCCATTGTATGCATCACTAGGGTCCGCTTGTGACGAATTGGAAGCTTGAACGTTTCCACCGTTTCAGTAGCTCACGGACTGCCGAGCACAATTTAGCGTTCGCAGCCGATATTGAAGCGTACTTAAATTTCCTGATAAGCATAAGTGAAAGTTTTATTTTTTCTCACAAATTATTAATTTTAAGGACTAGTGTCATAAACGGAAATGAAGGTTGTTGGCCAAACGCAGATGAGTTTCTTATCACTGACTGCCGCCAAATGTTTTTACCTTTTCCTATAAATATCGATGTGTTTTGAATTCAGATTTCAAATTGAAATTTTGATTTTCCAACTTCGCCTTGACGTGCGGCGTTGAAAATACGATTTTTCAACTAAATTTCAAAAAGCTGACGAGACCTGCTTAATGAAAAGCTTGAGATGAAAATTTGCAATTCGATAACTCATTGGCCGTTGATTCGACTTCGTTAGTCAACGGTTATTCGAAGTAAGCCAGAGAAGACTCATTTGGCTAATGGCCATCGTTTTGTGATTAAGGTATTCGGGAACGAAGCTGAGCCTCCGCCCGCGTCGCTGCTGCTGCGGATCGCTGATCCACACCGGCGCAATCAACATCACTAACCAGGCTGAGGAAAATATTGAAAAGTTTGCATGAAAGATTTTTGATTATCGCAGCGCTCCAGGCTTACGGTTAATTACGTCATTTGAAGGCAAAAGTATCGCCTTCGAAAGCCTCTAGACGATCACGGATAAATGATAAAACTTGCATAGAAATTTGAACTCCGCGTTTGAACGGAAACTCATTTCGAGAAACAACCAGCAGGTATCATTTTGAGGTTGCAGCAGTTGATTGAAAATATATTTCGCGTTATCGATCATCTTTCCTGCTGTTGCTGAAAATCGTTTCAACGGACAAACCATGAGCAAGAAAATCGTTGTCCTCAGCTTTTTTCAGATTCTCTGCAACCCTCACTTCAAAGTCTACGTGTCAAACGCGGCAGAACATGGCAAAGAACACTCGACTTTCCTTTGGCACGTCTCATGAGTTCTGCTGTAGCGATGTCAACTGTTGACAAGCATTCATCTGCACTTCACTAATCACCAGCAACGGACGAGGACTTGTTGACTAGCAAGTTCCCCCAAAGGGCGTCTAATAATCCCTTTACTTATTCAGGAAAATTATTCTTAACATTGAATCGCCATCTAAAAATGATTATCTTCTTTTCCTGCAGAAAGTATAAAATAGTCTCAATATGAAATCAGCTATGCAATTTGATGTTATAATGTTGAGCTGCATTTTATAAAACTTTTACGTGCACGCGACGGTCACGTGATAAATGCTTTGTTTTGAATTTTCATCTTCCATTTTTCATCAGTTCGAAGCTTAAATTGATAACTCAATAAAACGAACTCCGCTAAACTCCAGATTGCGATTTACACTTATCAGCTGTCTGGAAAAGAGCAAAACGCCTTTAAAAAATTCCTCCATTGCGTGAAGTAGCTGACCACTTCAAAATAAGCTAATCTTGCTTATTGAAGAATGTCACTGTCTTCAGTTGATAGATACAAAGAAATCACGCAATGCCGTTTGTCCTTGCCTCATGATTCTAGGCAAGGATACGTTGAACAACGCTTAACCAGGCTGCATATCTCCACTTGGTGATCTGCACATAAATCTGCTTTCTTCCAAGAATATGTCGTTGGCATTCGTGAAGTTGCATTCTTGACGACCAACACATCGGAAGCACAAGTCACCTTGAACTGTCATTTTGGCAGTCAGTCTTTCGAACTGGAACTGCGCAGCCGGTCGGTCGGTCGGTGGAGCTGAACGTTCACTGGATGAGCGGTTGCCGGCGTCGACGAGTGATGAAATGATCGATCAGTTCACTGCTTTCATAGTTCATAATTTATTTACCTTCAGCTTGACGGAAGCAGATCTCGGTGCTGCGGTCGTCACAGAGCCGAGAACCCGCCGCCTTGACTCATTCTCATTCTGGTGTCGCTCACTGTCCGTTTGAGATGCCCTCCGACGACGGCAATCGCCGTCACTCGTTCACCATCTTGCTACAGCCATAAACGAGCCGAACCGAGCCGAGCCGAGTCAAGTCGAGCCGCGTGCACCAGACCGACAAGTCGCCGTCTTGTCGCTGTGTTCGTTCGTTCGTTTGTTTGTTCAACTGAAAGATGTGATGTGCTGTCTGTGCGACCGATGGCCTATAGCCTATAGCAGACAGCAGATAGCAGATAGCCGATAGCCGTTGTTGTGGCTGGTCGACTCAGCGGCCCTCACTCAAGCGTCTTAGCGAACCTCGACTGGCCTCTGTGCCAAGAAGCCCAACCGCAATTGGTGCTGCCGTCGTCCGTCAGCTATGTGATCATGCAGCTTTGGCCTGCTGCCACCGAACTGTTGCTGCTTCTCATCCAGAACACCCTGTCCGAAGGTACGGTAGACGATTCGTCGCATCCCGTCGACAGTTCCAGCAACTTCCATTCGTTACTCATTTCCTGCGCTATTTGCATATGTCACTATCAAAATAACCCTCTGTAAGAAAACAGCGACTGTGCTCGTTCGAACACTTGTTTTCTCCATTCCATCGTCCAAAGTGTCTCCCAACGCTCCTTGCTTAATTTGTTCAATCTCTTCTCACTCCGCCTACTGTAATTAATGTCTGATTGGGTCCGGCAGGGAAAGATTTCGTACCTGCTGATCCTGAAACTTCGGAGGAAAGTCCTGAAAGAGGGGGGGGGGCTGTCTGCGATGAAACCTTGCAATCACTCAGGTATTTTAACTTCCGCTGGACGATCATGGTAGGACTTGCATTTGCACATGAGCCAGATATGTGATCACTTGGAGCAAGTTTACTTTTTCATCTTCACAGGCCGTCGTCATAATCGATTAACTGAAGAAATGTAATCTCGCTGAGTAAGTTATTTTGGTGAGAGCGTTTACCATCGGATAATTGGTTCTTTGCGAGGTTTGTTCAGTTATATTCGATCATCACAAAATATTTTGTCCACTACATAAAACCAATTAATGTTAGTTTGTAAATAGTGAAAATTCCAATTACCGTACCATTCGTCCTTCAACTACCGACCCCGGGTTTACACGCCGAAAACTACAGACCGAAGTCGTCTGCTTCAAAGCAGTATTGTTGTACTGTAAGACAGAAGACAGTCTTTGCAGTCAACTGTACTAGAACACTGCAGCTCCTCCGTGCTTCTAGTCACTTACGGGG